GGAAATGGGAGCACCTAGGACTATATCACGATGAAGACAGATTAGCCGATGCCAAGGCCGTTTACAAGCTAAATACTTACCAAGAAACGTGATCGAATCCATGGGACATCAAGTAGTAAATGGCACTCTTGCTAACATACGCCTCAGAAAAATAGAACGAAAATGTTTGGAACATTCCCTCACATGCATAAAATGGAACGGCAAGCCATACTTCTACCCAACATCCCCACCATTGCCAACAGCCATACAGCCAAAAAACCATTCTCCCTTGTCGGCATCGACTTGGCCGGACCATTTCTCACCTTTGGTTCAGACAACAACCATGTTAAAAGAGAGATATTCCTCTCCGTCTGCATGACTGCACGAGAAATGCCTCTAGTCTAGAAGTGGCCAACGATCTAAGTGCACTACAAATAATTAATGCCCTCAGAAAACTAATTTCTAGACGAGGTAAACCCAACCCACCATCTGAGACAACGCGATTAATTTAAAGCGTAGCAATGAACTTCACACATCCACAGAGGACGGAGACCTCCACAAGCTAAAGCGAGACCAATTTCTCCAACAAATAAAAAAAAATCCAACGGCAATTCATAGCATCCCTTTCCCTTTGGAGAGGTGGTTTACGAACGCTTAGCTGCCATTGTTGCCATTACGAAATCCACGTTAAACGCGTGGTAGCAAAAAGAATGCTCGATGAAACAGACTTCGCAATTATAGTCACGGAATGGTGACTGAGAAGCCATGGTGAATCCAGACTACTTGCGTTCAGGAAGCATACTGAAGACTCGTTAATGATCGTCCAATAGAGTTCCTTACGTGACAACAAATCTGTGTTTCGTTTTTGCTGAAAGGTCCCCTTACGGCCAAAAAGGCTGGAAAAATATTGTTGAGAATGGGCGGTTTATACAGCTTCGGAGTGACGTTTCGGACTTGTGCAACATATTCCTCCATGTTGAAGGGTGCTGATGAAGATGGCATCGAAAACAAGATGAAATTCGCCAAAAATTTAAGTACTGTCAGCGCCGAAGATGCGAAAAGTGAAGAGGTTTCATAAGCATTGCTGGCACCTCACCGTCCGTAGGATGTTGTGGTCCAGTGGGTAGCGTGATGGACCCGAAGGAAGGGACTTTGTGGTTCGAATCCGCTCCATTTCCAAACTTCTGCATTTTCGAATTATTTCGACCACCTAATGGGCGCTAAATTAACTCAGCGTCGAATTCAACGCTGTAGGCTCAATCAGGACCATCAGCAGCCCCTGCCAATGGGTTTTCTACGAAGATTTGGCGGAAAAAGTTCGCAGCGCCAACACTGTATGGCGCCAACGTCAAAAAATAACGCCATATCCGTGATAAGCGCCCCGATTCACCCCTAAGAAAGTCGTGATTTTGACTTAACTTCGAGAACGGAGGTGACCATGGGCCACAGGTCGTCATGTAGCCGGCGGGCGACTTGAAGAAGAGCACTGCGCGAAAATCAAATAGAACACCCTGATGATTCAAGGAATTCAAAGCTCGATCTCATAGAGAACATGTCCCACTACGTCCCTGTCCTTAAATTCGTGCCCCAGCTATGGAGATGAGGTCCTACGAGTGGACGACTCGAGGTGCAACATATCACGTCTCGAAGGAGAGAAATCTATCGACTTCACCCATGCGGGCCCTGTTACCTGTCACCAGGCTAGATTTTTCCATTGCCTATTCTGTAGTGGAATTTCTTATTATTTGGAGAGTCTTACGAGAAAACTCATTTTCCAATCGCCGGCTAGAGCAACCCATAGGCAACTGACCGATATGTCGAATGCCAATTTTTCGGAACTGACTCAAAATCTCAATTTTTTTCTAAAACTTTGATATTAAGGATGATTACTGTTCTGATCACGAAGATTCCTGAAGGAAATCTTGAGCGGCTACTACTGCCATTGCTGGTTCTCCGTCGGTCCTCTGAGTGCCTCCATGGTTGTCTATATTCATGAATGTGTGAGAGGGTGTTGTGATTTGACTTCTTGTTGGGGAATTTGTGATATTGACGCCATTTCTTGACGAGAACTTTCTCGAACTGGAAATTCTTCTTGTCGAGTGTCCTCCCAAGCGCATGCTTTCCCTAGATGGTTCACGAGACGTAGGAGAGTAGCTTCTACTTCTGAAATGTCTATATGGTGAGTTGTTCTTTCGGTTGATGATGTTTTGCCCTTCTTCTAAACAGTAGGGGTTTTGCTTCCTTCTGCAAATAATTGCACTGTGGTTTCCTCCACAATGTGGACAATTTGGTTTGCGGCAAGATCGTGTTGAATGTTTTGGACTAAAGCACTTCCAGTATGCTGTCACCAATTTGGGTCGTTCAATTTTCTGATTTAGTGTGCGGTACTTGTTGCACTCTTGAAATTTGTGGGGCTCGCCACATCCTGCACACTTTGTTGTATTGTATGTACGGGTGTGGAGCACTGAGAAGTTTCTCATTGCACTTGGCTTTTGTCGCCCTTCAAGGTGTTCTCATGGTCTAACCGCAACTGTGAGATGTTCCAGGAGTGTGGTCATGTCCCAGACCTGTCCAGAATCGAACTCTTCCCTTGTTAGTTTATCTTGGACGTTTTTGGAGAATGTATCCAACACCATGCTCATTAAATGGGTTGTATTGACAATTTCCCCTTGTCGTTGTAGAGTGGCCACAATTGCTTGGATGTCACTTAGGTTATTCCGCAGTGATCTGGATTCATCGCGACATTGTTTCATGGATTTGAGTTGTTTGATCATTGTCACTGTGATGCGTTTAGGATCATGGTATTGACTCTTGAGTTGTTCCACGGCTCTGTCATAGGAGTCTCCGCGTCTGGGAATCATTTGAAGTGTGGGTGCCGCATCGCCTTTGCAACAGTTGTGGAGGATTGACAATTTCTCAATGTTGGCGTACGGTTGCTTGTGTAGAAGCTCTTCGAACAACTCCCAGAAAGGTCCAAAGTCTGCAGGGTTGCCATAGAAGTCTGGGACTTTGAGTTCATTTCCTAGAAATCTTTTGCTCATTGTGGGCAGACTGCGTGAGGTGAGAGCTTGTTGGTTACCTGTGAGGTGTTCTCTTTGGTCTCGTGTACTTTTCCGTTTGCCATTGCTTTTTGGCATTCCAATTCAACAAGACGTGTTTCTAGGAGGTTATTTGCTTCTGTGGCTTGATTGAATAGGTGTTCTCATTGCTTTTCTTTCCAGTATTGTTGAAATTGTTCCTCGATTGTTGGCTCGTCTTGTTGGGGGTGAGGATGAAATTTTACTTTCTTCCTCCATGTATGTGTTCCATGAGTTGTCCAGTTGTGTCTCAAGTCGTCGAAGCAAGTTCTTCATTGTGACTTGATTTGTTGTTATCATTGTTTGGAGTGCATGCGCTTCTATTGGGAAGTTCCAGGGGGGTGTATATCCTTGAGCCTCATGGATTAAATGGGCTAGGACGTTGAGTTGCCTTGTAATCTTCTGCTTCACTATTTTCAGGTTCACGAGTAAGGACGCTGTCACTGACATACGATTACCAATGTCTTCAAGACTGCTGGGTATATATAGCATCCATTATCAGAGATGTGATTTTGTTTTGTGTTTCAATTGAATGAAGGCTTATCGAGCAATCTTTGCATCGAAGCTTGTGAAACCAGTCTATTGTGCATTCTTTGATGTGGATGTTTTGAGATAGCTTATGTTCCGCGTAGCCTGATTTACCAAGAATGCAAGAGAGCGCTTAGAGCGCGCTTTTCTGAGGCATTAGAATGCCTTGCTTTCTGCATGTTTTGAGAAGCTCATCTGCGTACCTGCAAACTCTTGAGAAATGCTAAAGAATATGTCTGGTCAGAGTTTTTTTTGCATGAGTCAATTGTAAAGAGATCTACTTGCTCAACTATCGTTTCAAAATGATTTTCGGACGCATCACCGGGTTTTTGTTGGAGTTGTCCTTCTCTAGGAGCATCTTTCAGACACACCGCCGGGTTTTTGCGGGTTTTCCTTCTCGTTGAACGTAGGAGAGTTGGCTTTTTGTGTGTATATTGATTGTATTTTTGATTGTGCCGGCATACGAGTTTAGAAAGGGAGAAAATATTATGTACAGGGAGAGGATGTTCTAGAAAAGAAAGGATGGAAAACTATAAAATAGAGAAGAGGAAATGGTACATATGCTCGCGCGAGCTGGACTGTTTGGAAGATCGATGACAAGGTGACCAGTCCTGTCTTGTAGTGTACTGGATTCCATGAGCGCGCGAGTGGAGGTAGGAAAATTGGAGAACCGTATGGTTGAGAGTGATATGATATGAGTGAGCAAAGCTCTAGTGGAACCGTACATAGGAGGGGAGTAGGCTAGATTGGAATCGAGAGACTCCGAGTCAAATGATTTAAGTTTCATTGGATGCATTGTTTGCCTGGCGGGAAAGTGGCCATTAAGATTGCTTGGTTTTGTTTTGGCCGATGCACCATATTTTGGCATCCTAAAGATGGTAATCCGCAGGTGCATCCATATTTTGAATATGCCTCGGGGTTCAGGGTACAAGTGGAGGGTATACCTCTTCCTTTACGCTGCATCAAGCACCTTCGAAAGAATTGCATTTATTCTACGACGGATATTAACATGATCGCAAATGAGTCTTTGGTTCTAGATTGAATTGCTTCGATCGGATAACTCTACTTTTCTTTGTCTAGGCATTCGTCGCCGAAGCGAGATTGCTGATGAGCTGAACGCCCGGTGCGGACGCCAGACCCTCTTTTATACCCGCGGGAGGGGAGGAGCCGGACTGATGATACATCATGAACCATGAAGTTCATGACACCATTCGATTCCGTGAGTACCGATGTGAAGTTCTTCAGCCGTTCTTCTTGGGCCAATCTTAGCGTTGAAGTCGCCGACGATGACCTTGAAGAAGGTATGATCTTCCCTATAGAACTTCTCCAATTCCACATAGAATGCTTCGTGATCTTCTTCGTCGTAACTGGATGTTGGTGCGAAGGCAACGAAGATCGTCAAAGCAGGAGTTGATCCGCATCTCTTCAATCCCAAACGTCCGATTCGGGTCGTTAGGCTTTCGTACGAATCGATGTTTATGGCCAAAAGCGTGTTGACGAGGACACCAACACCGCCAATGCCTCTGCTGTCGCATGTTCCAAGGAACAGTACTTCTCAACGCGTGTAGCGGGCGGTGCCCTCTCGTCTCGGTCAGTCCGATGACGTCGTACTTGATCGTCCTGGCCTGCATCATCAGATCTTCGATGTGAGCTTTGGGTACAAGCGTTGTGCGTTGGAAATACAGATAGCCATCATAGTCCTTTTTCGTTTGAGCAGCCTATCCCGCCTATCAAATGCCGCTGCGAATGTACCAGTGGAAGTAGAAGCGTGCCGCATCCCAAAAAGGGATTGATCAGCTTCGAATGCTTTATCCTTTATCCTGTTTATCCGGGCCCTAAGATTCTAGCAGCCTCTCCCGAGCCTCTCCTACCCAGCGCTGCCGTATTTAGGGCTCCCTCAGGTTCAGGGGAATGACTCCCATCTATATTGCTGTTTTCGGCATACTGAAGGCACACGAGTAGCTTGCCAGGCTCTGTCGTGTGGGCCAGGATAGACCTCCATGTTGTTAGCCACGCTATCCTAGAGCGGAACAAGGGGCTTAGTTTTTGGAGGCGGCCTCGAATCGCCTCCCATGTACTTCCCAGTTACTTGAATGCAAGCTTTTGACTGTGGCGGCATGCAGGATACCAGCCGCACACACACAGAGCGCACCACACACGCAAGCATGCATGGATGTGCCTGACAAGGGAAGGATGGTAGGTCGAAGTGGCCGTTCAAACAGGGTCAAGCGTGCGTCGAGGAATCCTCGACATGTCACAGAAGGGGGGGGGGTCGTTATTTGGCCGCTGGGAGAAATCCGCCCGATTGATACAGTTAGGATTGATCGTTTGAGGACAAAACATTAAGGATCGAATCGATACCAGGCCAGAGTATTTCAATAACAATTGATTCCGTCCACACAAAAATCTTCGGTGATTTAGAGGTGTCCGCTTAGCAATTCTTATGACTCAGTGTTTCATCACCACACAAGTCAAAGGATCATATTCGCACGTTTTCTAGGGATTATTTTATCTTTCAAGTAGGTCCTCAAATCCAACGAGGTGTGAAAGCACACGGCGCATCCCAGAGTGGGCCCAGTTGGTTGCGTCCGCGCGTCAGCTACGGCTCTCTTGATAACGAATTCTTTAATTCAGGAAGAATCAAGAGGGTTCTGAAAGAGTTCATGTTAAATTACAGAGAGGAGTACACTATTCAACAAGAAACGCAGCCTTCAGTGTCAAATTACAAGCATGTGAACCTTCAAAAGTGAGCACCGCTAAAACAATTTTACATTTTACAGAGAGAAAAGCACGAGGATTTTGAATTTCGGTGCCGTGCCTACTTCATAGTAATCGCCTCCTGCAAGGAGCTCATAACGTCGTTCGGGATATGCTAATGTAACGAAAAAGTAGCCTTCGCGGTACTCGGGCAAAAATCCTCAACGTGGCCATTTTGCGAAATAGTGAACTTATTTAGCAGTTTCAGTTGCCTCTAAAAGAGCAAATCTTCTAGTTTATTGATACGCTATCAACTTTCAGATTGCAATGAGCTCTTGAACGGAGTTATGCTTTGGAAGCGTAAAAAAACATCGCCACTATCACGATTTTCCTCGTTAATGTGCAGAAAATCCTCAACTCGTGGCCATTTTTAAGCCTGGACGTATGAGTCTGCTTTAGCTAACCGTTTGATAGAGATAAAACCTCAGGTTTTGTATGACGTATCAACTTTTTGAATGTTGACGGAAATGAAGCAAGTTTATTGCCTCCGAAAAGTGTAAAAACTCGTGCTGCGTCTCGAAATTTTCCTATCGTTATTGGATCTAAATTTGTTATTTCTTATAACCTTCCTTGCATTTCTAGGACTGCTTGAAAGTAGCTCTTCACAATAGCTCCAAAATCGGCTTAGCAAGACTCGAATACTTCGTTAACGTTGAAGAAAGTTATAATCATTTTGAATATTTGTTCAAATTTCAATAGTAATAAGCTGCTCCACTGTCAACGCCAAAGTCCAGTCCAAACACACGCGGCGAAGGTTTTTACAAGGCTTCCTTTGAGCGAAAAGGCTGACGGTAATATTGAAGAAGCATAATCTGTGTAGTACTGTGAATTTTGGTAATTCCTTGTGAAGGAAAATAACTAAAGAAGCCGATGTTAATCAAGGGTGTCATTTCTAGTTATTCCACTAGATGCACGACGTTTTTGCTCGCGCTTCTCGATTTGGCTCGCTTGACAGGACTCGTCATTAATGACCAATCTTTGACTTTTTTCACATTTGTACTTTTTGTAAACGAGTTGTTTTTGTGGATGACGGGGTAGCAGGGCTTTTTTATGAGAGTTTTGGTGGAGAATTAAAACAACTTTTTCATAGTCGGCTTTTGAGAGCGTTGTTTCATGGAGTTCGGCCTTCGGCAGAGGGAGGGGGGGGTCTATTTCAAATTTCCCTCGAACGCCATCGCTTGACCTGCGTTCAAATAAATGTATACCTCCTGATACGTCTCAGACGCTGATTCCAAATCTGCTTTTCAATTCTGCTAAACGGCTCTCCGAACGGAGTTATGAAGCGTAATAGCTCAGTGGTGACGGTCCGGGGTGGCAGGTAAAAGGTCGTAGGATCGGCTCCTTTGCAAGTTCGTTGCTTCGTTTTTGTCCGCAACACTTCTAGGGACAAAAGCAAAGCAACCATATTGCAAAGGAACCGAGCCTACGACCTTTTACCTGCCACCCAGACCATCACCACTGAGCTATTACGCTTCGTAACTCCGTTCGGAGAGCCGTTTAGCAGAATTGGAAGCAGATTTGGAATCAGCGTCTGGAGACGCATCGGGAAATATTTCACTTCGATTGGCCACTTCGACATACCATCCTTCCCTTGTGAGAGGAGACAGCTGGTATGAATCAACAAAGCACTACAGAAACAGGGAGTCCATCCCCTGAATCCACCTGCGTCAGGGCAAGTACATGGTGGCTTTTGTTCCGAGATTCACCCCCTATCCGCCACCTGGGGTCGCGCCACGTAGCCTCGCCACCAAACGGCTCAAGATCTTTCAGTGAGA